GTAAAAAGTTTTCATTAAGTTTAATAAAGATAAGAGCATGGTCTCACCTTTAACATTAAAAAAAAAAAAAAAAAAAACCTAGATAGGATCAACCATGAGTAGATCAGGTATCAGGTTGCAGTTATGTCAACTCAGATAAGAAGTAATAGGTCTATTTGTAAGACCCTAGCAATTAATTTTTTTGCATTATTTTTTGGTGCTTATTTTCTATTCTTTTTTTGGTTACTTTTTGGTAATTTTTTTGATGCTTATTTGTTACTTCTTTGTAGCTCTTTTGTTGTTATTTTAGAGTTTTTCTGTTGTTCTTCATTATTTTTTTAGTGGTTTCTTGATCATTTTTTCAATAGTTTGTTCTTTTTAATACTTTTCATATTCTTTTTTTTAGATTAACATTTTCTTTTGTTATTTTTTCAAAATTTTTTGTCATTTTTTGGGTGCTTTTCTGGTATTTTTTCATTACTTCTTTGTGGCTTCTTCATTGTTCTTTTAGTGGTCTCTTTGTCATTTTGATAATGCTTTCTTCACATTCTTTTGGTTCTTTTAGATCAACATTAGGTTAATGTTGAGATCAATATTGCTTAACTTTTTAGGTAGTACATCTACAAAAATTGTTTCCCCCTGTAATTTTTACTAAGAATTCGTTTGGGGCTGGGTTAGGGTTAGGTCACAGAGGTTTTTTTAATAAATAAAAATAAAAAATTTTTTTATAAATATAATTTTATTTTAACTCAACTACTTTCCTATTACCTCATCTCATGTAAGGATTACTTCATACCAGGGCTGATGATTTTCCGTTTTGGTTAAGACCAAATTCTGTTTTCGGTTAAGAAAAATTCCGTGATGTCATGTGCTGTTTTTTTTAATGTACTCTGTAAAATTCTGTGATGAATAAGTTAATTCTGTGGTGATTTAGTTTGATTCTGTGATTTGATGCGATTAAAAATTTTAAAAATACATGTTTATAATTTACATTTTCGGGATTTCCCGGTGCCCAAACTGAATTTATGGTCGATATTATAGAACATTCTGCGAAGATAAAGGTGATTTCTGTGGTTAGCTGTTTTTAAGGGCTATTTTCTGTGATCGCAGTAAATCATCGGCCCTGCTTCATACTTAACATTAGACCGAACATATTCGGAGATATCACATGTTGGTCTCATGATAATTCGAGACAAAAGCTGCTTCGATATTTACGTATCGAGCAGCTTTTTGTTTTGTCTCATTTTTGGTGATTTACTACGGAAATACATTTGGGTGTTCCCTTCTGCTAATCGAGCATCAACATATCAATTTTTTTAAATAGTATCCATAGATTATAATTGAGTTTTAAATTAAAATTCTTTCATATAATGATATTCATGAGATGATAATTTTGTTACAGTATATGCAGAAAGAGAAAAATATCTGATATGAAAAATTAGGTAATGTAACTAGGCGTTTGAGTTGTTTAAAAAGAGTTAGAAATGTATTATATTATACTGGCATGTTATGAATCAGTTCTAGTATAGTTCTTGTGCAATTCATCAAATATTTTATTAATTTCATATTATAATTATAGAAGAAGATAGAATTTTATTGTTATTTTATCATTTATCCACCCTCCAGGTTACCCGGGTTATGATTTTTCAAACGGGTCCAACCACTAGGTTATAATTTAAGATTCCATTATTTCGCGGAGACGACGAACTGTAGAACGGACTGTAGCTGCAGTAGTGGTCCTATGATTGAAAAATTATGTTAACTACATCATTGAATTCATTTATATGAATTTAAATATGAATTTGAACGGAGACTCACGACACAGTCCATGCGCCGCCGGCCACGATTTTATTACATGCCCGACATTTCCAAATGCCTACAGCCTTCCTTTTAACTGTTTCCTATTTAACATTGGTAAATGTATTCGTTTAAAATTATATTAATTATGGTAAATAATAAATAATTGTTATCTCGCTCATAAATATATTACTTTGCCACAGAAAGTGCATGTATATTTTGAATGCTGAGTAATTTCCATCTTTTTGATTTGTTTTCTCAACGAGGCACCATAACGGGTACCATATTTGCCGACAACTCCGACCTATTAATGATGAATTTCCTCAGATAAATTTCTCGATGCGATTCACTTAAACATATATAATTATATAAGTAGTGTGATAATTGACCTTTTTTGTGCGTTTGGCCTATAGTAAAAAATAAAGTGAGTAGACCAAATAAAAAAAATTTTAATATACGATGCTAACATATAGTCGTCAGTGTTCAAAATCTAATGCTCTTAAAAAAATTTTCGAGAACTAAAAATTTAATACTGCATATATTTTATTTTTTATTATTGAAAGCAAATTTTTTAATGTTCTCATGTAGCAAAGAAATTTTTTCAGATTTCAAACACTGGTCGTCTTAAATGATGGATTTAATTTTTAATAAACATAAATTTACCATTTGGATGATCGGTAAACTTAAAAACGAACGATGATAATTCTTTTTTTTTAAAAGATGAAATTTTTTTATGTATTTTTTTTTTGACCAATCAGAATGTCGTTCACCGCGTTACCTGTTACCCGTTAATCTTACCAAGTCGATCGTCATACCCGGAAATTTTTTATATATATAATGCGAACGGTTAGTTCAACCGAAATATGTTTTTAGCATTCTGTTCTTAGCGGGATATATTGTATATTTTTTTTTTTAATGCCTAAGCGGCCTACAAGTCCCATCGTGTCCTCTATGGCATCCCGACAAAGTACATTTGATTCATTCACACAACCTATAACTGTCATCGAACATTCTGGTGACGAACATCAATCAACAAAACGCACACGTCTCGATATCGGAAAGGATTTGATCTTTCCCTCACATAAGCCGATAACCGAAAAGCCAATTGGTGAACCACACAATGAAACGAAGATACCTATCAAAAAATTAGTAATTAGGACTTTAAAAGGTAAGTTTACGAATTAATTATTTAAGTTTTTTTTTATATACTGATCAAGTATAAATTTTAATAAAAATATCATCAAAATTTGAATTTGTTCTTTAGATAAACCAAAATTACCTGATAATTTTGAAGAGGTTACATGGGCAAAGCTCCAAGCAGCTATTCGTGCGATTCATAATTATCAACCTGTTAATGATAGTCTTGAGGAGCTTTATAAAGCATGCGAAAACCTTTGCTTACACAAAATGGCCGACAGGCTTTATTCAAGGCTTCAAGAGGAATGCGAATCACATCTTTTAAAAGAAAAAGAAAAACTTGATTGGTAAATATACGAATCCTAATTTAATATTATCAATCCATATATATATATATTGTTTTTCATTTGTATCAATTTCCGCCAAATCTAAAAAAACCAGCCATTTTCAAATGTATAGTGATAACTCTGATGATGAGGCTTTCCTTCAAGTAGTAGATCAATGTTGGCAAGCACATTGTAAACAAATGGTAGCTTATTAAAATTTTATAATTGATTTTATTTTCGTAGTGTGACATTTAGATTGTTTAATTTATCGAATCTGGGAATTTTAGGGCTTAATTAGAAACATATTTTTATACCTCGATCGTACTTATGTACTTCAAACTCCTGGAATTTCTTCGATATGGTAATAATCAAATTTATATACATATATATATATAATTATTAATATGAATAAAAATAATAATTTTAAATTAATTTTAGGGATATGGGTATCGAATTATTTAGAAAACATATAATGTCATCTAGTGACGTACGGCAAAAGACTTTGAATGGATTACTTTCTCTGATTAAACGTGATAGGTAAGCTAATTATATCTTTTGTGTGGGTTAATTAATAGCTATGAATTTAAATTGACAAACATATATTATTAGGGATGGCGATGAAGTTAATAATAGACTATTGCATTCCTTAATACACATGTATATTGACCTTTCCGTCTATTATAATCGGTTTGAAACTCCATTTTTGCAAGAAACCCGTAATTATTATTATCAAGAAGGGCATCGACTTGTGAGTGAGTACGCTGTGCCAAGGTATCTTGGACATGTTAAGTCGCGATTGTATATGGAAGGGGAGCGAGTCAACAATTATTTAGATAAAAAAACAAGAGGTCCTTTGACAAAAGTTGTTTATGATGAATTGATCAAGAAGCATGTTGAAACTATTCTGGAGAAAGGTAAAATAATTTATTGTATAATAAACTGATTCGCTTAATATGTATATGCGTTAAATTTTTATTTAATGATTATATTAGGATTTGCTGACATGATGGAAGATGATAATGATAATGATGATAAGCATCTAAAAGAATTAAAACTTTTATATCAACTCCTATCAAAAGTAAATGCACTTGACCTTTTGCGCAAATATTTCGGAGATTACATTAAGGCAAGAAATTTAGAGTTATAAAGTTTGCGGTTTACTCTTAATTATTTTAATAATATTGCTTTGCATAAATAGAAAACTGGCACAGCTCTTGTTAACGATCCAAGTCAAGAGCCGGCCATGGTCACCGAACTTCTTTATCTTAAGGCTAAAATGGATGAAATTGTTTCAGGAGCTTTTCAAGGAGACAATGCTTTCAACTACATGGTAAAAGAAAGCTTTGAAATGTTCATTAATCAACGTCAAAATAAACCTGCAGAGCTGATAGGTGAGTCAACGATAAACTTAGCTGTTAAAAAAAGCTTTTTTTTTATACACTTTTAATATTTACTTTATATTACCGGATTATTTCAGCGAAATACGTGGACCAGACATTACGACTTGGAAACAAGAGTATGGATGATACAGACATAGAAAAGACGTTGAATGAAGTGTTGGTTCTGTTCAGATATATTCAAGGTAATAATTATATGAACAATTACGTTTTAAATACATGCAATTTTTACTTACCATAATAAATATCTAGGAAAAGATATATTTGAAGCCTTTTATAAACGCGATCTTGCTAAACGTCTTTTACTAAACAAGAGTGCATCATTCGATTATGAGAAGAGCATGTTATCAAAATTAAGGAAAGGTTGCATTACCTTTTTTTTTTTTTTATTCCCATGTTATACAGTTTTTTACAGTATAAATGGGCAGGCTCTGCTTAAAATATCGGCGAATTATTCTACTGATCTGGTCTGACTGTCAAACCAATTCATTTACGATGAACAGATCGGTACTTTGATCACGTGTACAGCAGAGGCCAAAATTTAGTTTCAATATACAATTATAGGTGATCATTTTATGTCATTAGTATTAATTATCATTTACGACAACTTAATAGAGTGCGGTCCGGCATTCACGAGTAAGCTAGAAGGAATGTTCAAAGACATTGACTTGTCAAAAGATTTTATGCAGTCTTTTGAAGTATGTAGTAACATTCATTGAATAGTTGTTATAGTTTTATAAATACTGAAAGGAAACACATATTGATATTTTTTACTAAATTACTTTAGACTTCCAAGGCTGGAGAGCTAATTAAGGAATACAAAATCGATTTATACGTTAATGTTTTGACACAGGGATTCTGGCCTTCATATCCTCCATCACCACTCAACATACCACCAAATGTTAGTGGCAAAATGATTTATATTTCGTTCAGTTTGATTATATTATTATGAATTATTTATTGAAACATAGTTTTCAAAAGGTAGTACAATGTCAGAAGATTTTCAGGGATTTTTATCTTGGCAAGCATAATGGAAGAAATTTAAAATGGCAAAATTCATTAGGCCATTGTATGTTGGCAGCAGAATTTCCGAAAGTGAGTTGTTAATAATCTTAGAAAAGAATGTATCTAAGATCTTGATTGCTTATTTATTTGTTACGTGTATTTATAGGGAAATAAGGAATTGGTAGTCAGCTTATCTCAAGGAGTGGTTTTACTACTATTTAATGATTTGCCACCAGGTGGAAGGCGGACCTACGATGAAATAAAAGAAATGTCTGGAATGGGTAAGGAATAATTGATTATAAATTTTGCGTGATAAATTACTATATTAAATTGACTAATTTAATAAACAGAACCCAAAGAGTTAAATCGTACGCTACAATCCTTGGCCTGTGGTAAAGTCAGAGTTCTTGTAAAGTATCCGAAAGGACGTGATATTTCCATGACAGATGAATTTTCAGTTAATGAAGAGTTTGAGGCCAAAATTTTCCGCATAAAAATTAATACTATACAGTTGAAAGAAACGGTACGTATTTAATTATAATAAATATTTTATTGATTGTTGCTAATTTCGAATGGATTACTATTTTACAGAAAGAAGAACATGAAATGACCACAGAGAGTGTTTTCATGGATCGTCAGCACCAAATAGATGCTGGATTGGTTCGTATAGCGAAGATGCGTAAGACTCTTTCTCATAATGAATTAATCACAGAGCTTTTGGGAATACTGAAATTTAAACCTCCGGTAAATATTAGGCCATACAAATTTAATTACTTGGTTTTCATAACATGGAATTTTTAAATAGACCCGGCCGGTCGGCTTTTTTTTTTAAATTTCGTATATAAAATTTATATGAAATTTTTTTTTAAAACCCACCCGGTTATTACAGCTGCTCTCATAAATTCTGGGACAACTGATAAAAATTGGTTCGGCCGAATTCGATAAGTTTTTGAATTCGGTGTTATCGGCATTGGATTCGGCATTACAGCAATGTCGATAACACCGAATTCAAAAACTTATCGAATTCGGCAAATGATCATCGGGTAATTTTTATCATTGTCCCAGAATTTATGAGAACAGCTGTAAACCATATAAAAAATTTTTTTTTGAAGCTTTCAAATTTTGGCCCGGCCGGGTTATGAAAACCAATTAATTAATTTTGCATGGCCTTATTTATAATACATCAAGGCGTGAATTTCCTTAAATAACTAACTTATATTTTTTAAAATAGATGTCAGACATTAAAAAACGCATTGAATCATTGATAGACCGTGAATATTTAGAGAGAGATAAGAGTGATTCTACGAAATATAAGTACTTGGCTTAATTGGCTTTTATTATACTAATTGCAACAATCTGTTACACGTATTATATGTAACAACTCCGGGTATTAGTCCGGAACCAATCAAAAAATAAAAAAATTTAAAAAAAAGTCAAATCTATTTGAATTTGACCTAATAGTAACAATAATGATTTGAATTTGACCTAATAGTAACAATAAAGCAAATGCTGTATTTGTTTTTCAAAAAAATTAATGTAATTAATAATTTTTATCTTGATTTTATCCTTTCGAGATCATAACATGTCATTTTAATCCTTTCTTGCCAGCTTTACCGTCATCCATATTATTATTATTATTATTATTATTTTATGGGGGAATTAGCCCATGTTGTCATTGCACATAATCTGGAGCTTCCCTCTTTGATTCAAATTTATTATTACGAAGATTTAAAGAAATAAGAGATGTTCTTGCAAAGTGCTTCTGCTAATGCTTTTCCATTTCAGATCTAAGTACATTATCGCAAGATTTATTTTTGTAAAGCGCATCAGCTAATGTCTTTCCCCTTTTGTGCCAAGATAATTTTTATAAGATTTAATAAAGTCATAGGGGTGCTCTGGTAAAGTACATCAGCCAATGCTTTTCCTTTTTTGATTCGAGCTTATTAAAATTCAAAGAAGTCAAGATGGTTATCTATTCATTTATATTTTTTAAATGTTTTTTTGAAAGATTTCAGTTTAAAGCTTTTTTTTGATCTTCATCATTATGCTGGTTATTATTTAGATTCTTTAGAATTTCTCCATAAAGTTCTAACACTTTGAAATATATGCCTTCATTTAATATACTATTCTCTTGTATTGAAAAATTTGAATAAGGCAGTACCAGATTTCACGTAAGTATACAGAATTAATGGTATCAAGCAAATAAGTTGATAATGTCGCAATTTCAATGGTATAGAATAATCTATAATTTCGCTGGCAAGTACTGAAAAAATTAAATCTTCAATATTATCACTAAATGTTCGTTTTTGTGTTTGTTTAAATAGAATGTAAATAAAATAATCATTAAAAAAGCTTCGTATTAGACATTTTATCTTTTTTATAGAGAACTTATTTCAAACAAGTTAAAAACTACATTTCCAAATTTCTACAGCATAGAGCGCCAATTTTGATGCTTATATAATCAATTCTGATTGGCTAATTTTGATGTAATTGATTCTAATTGGTGAATTAAACATATATATATACTTTCTTTTTTTTTGTATTAAACGCCAATTTTTTAAAGTATACCGCATAAACCACCCGGTATGATGCGATTTTTCACATAGTGAAAAATTAAAAATCACATGTATTACACAATTGTTTATATCACATATCGCATATAAATATTATTTTAAAAAATTGATCTGCATTATTTGTCACGCAGGGTGGTTTATGCGGTAACTCTTAATAACTCTTAATAACTTCTTTAAAACAAAAAATAATAGAAAATCCTCCGACAAAAATGTAGTTTGGCTAAATATCTATCAATTTGTCGGAGGGTTTTTTGATTTAACTTGTTTTAAAAAAGTTCTAATGATTTAAAGTTTTTATTAATAAAAAGTGGATGCGTTTTGCTGTCCGGTACTGTATAAAATGTTGAATGACAAAATACTAAAAGCCCGATATTTTTAACATTACCTTTATCAGCCTCATCACTTAAATAGTTCATAACCTTTATGCCACCATTTTGATGAACTGTCGCAGCATAATATGCTGCAGAAACATTTGTAATTACCAAAAATATTATGGAAAAATTTAATCACACTGACTTTTTTGATCTTGGTAAAGTTGGCATCCCTTTTGTTACTGAATTCACATCTTTCTGTTTTGTTTGTTGTTTGATTTGTTCTGCTCACTTTGCTGCGCTTGTTTAAACAGATTGACCGACTATTCGTGCTTTCTTGACGTTGTCATTCCCAATCTTTTGCGCTTGTTTAAAAGGATTTACTTGACATTTTGGTGGATCTTCGTAATACCTGTCTTGTTCAATTCTATTTTTTTTGCATTTATTAGAAAGCTTGATATGAAACTCCTTCCTTGATTCATACTTCGTTTAATTGCCTGCATACTTCATTATATGATGTTTTTGAGGTTCATATTGAAACCCTTTTGAAAAAATTTTCTTTTAACCTTGCAATAGAGATAACAGCTCTTTCTTCAAAAGCAAAGCGCTATTCCTTTCTCATTGCTTTGAAGGCCTTTACCTCCATGTGTTTCCATGTATTTTTTATGCTTTTGTCTATATCTGTATTAAAATTTTAAAATTCTATTTTTTTTCTGTACCGGTACGGGATTTATAAAGTCGCGTAAATGTCATATTTAGTAAAGCAGGTATTGAATTTGATTGGTTGACAATTAACCAATAAAATCAGCGAATAATTCTGATAACAGGGAATCTAATCAAACCCTTTTTAAAGGCAATATATAGTAAAGATTTGCATTAAAAAAATAATATTGTTACAATGTCTGAAGAAGAAGAACTACTAAGACTTCAAGAGGAATTCTTTGCCAAACAAACAAGACCAGCTGCGACTGTCCGTGGCCAAAGATTTGAGTTAAATCTTGAAGAAAATGTCACAGAACATGAACCAATAAGCAAAAAGGTTTTGGATTTACGCTCCCATACAAATGGAATTGTTCGCGGTGTTATTGAAAATATTTCAAATGGGCCGGTAATAGCTCCATCGTTTCCTAACGTTTCTGCTCCTAGTGATGGGTTTCCGCAACCAATTCATAGGAGTCATCGAAGTCTATTCAGGCAAAAAAAACGTCAAGTATTTGAGAGTGAGAAAACTTTAGATCTCCAAGATCCAAGTCCTAAGACATTTAAAAGTGAGAAAACTTTAGATCTCCAAAATCCAAGCCCTAAAACATTTGAAAGTGAGGATTCAATTTTTCTTGAAATGAAGAAAAAGTTCTACCCTGATACACCCATAGAGTACGAAAAATTAGAATGGTTGGGTGTTGACTTCAAAAATGACAAAGCACAATCTTCTTCTGAACCTCAGAAAAAAGGATATGATCCTTGGGCTACAACTCTATTAGATCCTCCTGAAGCATCACATAGATTCGATTTCAATGGAAAGATAATAGATAAGGACTCTAATGTTCCTTCATATATGGGCCTTCATCATCACGGAGCTGAGCCTGATCGAGCTGGCTACACACTAGGTGAATTGCTTTATCTAATGAGAAGCATTGTTCCAAGCCAAAGAATAATTCCTTTAAAAGTTATTGGAAGAATTATAAGGAAGGTTAGAGTAGGTTATTATGGTGTTGAAACTGGGAGAGGGATTATAGATTGGGCAATAAAATTAAAGCTTCCGACTTATCTACGGATCGCATTAGATGATAAATTTGAGACAGTAATAATAGCAGCTGTTGATACAATGTCTGCTTGGATTATTGGCGGGTCAAAAGAATTTTATCAAGAAGAGAAACTCTGGGAGAGAGTTAGTAGATTATATCGTGGATGTGAATTTGTTTCTCTTGGGGGAAAAAATGATGCGCAAACAAAAAAATATTTTGGAATTGAGATCAGTGATTATGAAGCTGAGGGAGATTATGATACAATGGAGACTCATACTGAACTTGCGTCAAAAGATCTAATTGCAGGGCTTATTTCGATGGACATCACTCATCGACTATTATATCTTTTGGAATCAGCAAACCTTCCTCGCGTCACAAACGAACAAATCTTGCTTATGCTTGTTCGCTTTGCGCGTCATTCGCGAAAAACTGCAAAAGTTATATTTGAATGTCATCAATTATTAGATTTTGTTCATAAAAAATATTTATGCGTAGCTTGGCCACCTATTAATGATTCATCAAATGGGCCCAGATATCCGAACTTAGCGGTTGCTAAGCTCATTCACATACTGTGCCAGTCCTCAAAGAAAATCAGTAAAGAAATTATAAATAGGTATATGAACACTTTTCTGAGATATGTTGCAATCAATCCAGCATCATTTTCTAATGAATTTGAAATGGCCATTGGATACAACTTTTTCCAAGAAACATTGTGCATATACCAAACCCTTGCTACATATGGACTTTATCACGAAATATTTTCACAAACTTATGGTATTGTGAATTGGTATTTAGTGAGAGAAATATTATATTCGCTTACTCCTCCATGGGAGTGGAAAAATAGTGACGATTATCAAATGCGACAAAAGCTGGGAATAGCAATATCATTCTTCAGGCTTTTGGAAATTTGGGGTCCGTGTTCAAGATACAGAATCAGGCATTAAAGAATGTGGGGCGCAACCGAGCGAGATTATAAGAGACTCAGTTGATTTCTTGGCAAATTGGATGAACACATTTTCCTCCTCTCTTTTATCGCAAAATAAGGATATTCACGAAGATTATGAAAAGGCATTAAATTTGATATCTAGCGTTACAAAATATATTGCTGCGTGGTTTAAGTATTTGGGCGAACATAATTTGAAAGACATTAGTGAAATACAGAGGATTTGGGAAAAACTGTGCCTTGCATCTTGGCCTTCGTCTCATCTTTGCAATTATTTACGGGATCAATTAACTAATTGGACACAAAATACACAAAAAGTATCAAGAGATGATATTTGGCAGATATCAAATTTATCGGGTGCATATCATCCATCTACTTTTAAATATATTTCTGAATCCCTCTCAATTTCAATAATATATGATACATACTTGTCATACGTTTCTTTGATTTGTCAAACGTGCCAATTGCTTTCTAGCGACAATAAATTTTCGCTAAAAGCATTTGAGATGATCAAGTTAAGTATACCAATTGAGCCGTTACAACTATATGCGGTAAGAAATCCAGTGAAAGGCGATTGGCTTGATTTCTTCAACAAAATGCATATTTATTTGCTTTATGAATTGATGATTGTTATCAATGTGCTAATTGATAATATAGGAACTAATGAAATAAAAGTACAAAATTTAATGAACTTATTACATGACGCTTTAATAATAATGCCTAATATTTTACCCGGCGATGAAAAAATGGCTTTAGATGTTCTAGGCCGAATAGTGGACGGAATATGTTCAAAGTCACCTGACGCTTCTATGAGAGAGTGTATCAACATACTCCTGGCATTTTATGAACGTCGGGTTGTTACAAATAATAATAATCAAGAGAATAATACTTTTCTATGGAATTACGGCGGGTTGCCGTTGTCAAAGAATTGGATATGGACACCAGTTGATGTTCTTTATTCTAAGAAATCAGATCTAGTAATGGACACTGAAGTTCGGATTGAAATTACCCGAAGTTGTTTGACCTTAGTGTGCGAAGTGATGAAAATATGCAAGAATGTTACGAGTTTTTCAATTGCTAAATATATTATGGACCCTATTATAATTATAATATCCATTATGAAAATATTCATGTTGGATGGCGAAATATATAGAATGCCTGACATTGAACAACGGATTGATAAAATTATTTCATCATTCACTTTTCAACAATCCTCTGTTGATAATATTAAATTTACTAAACAAGTTCTAGAAGATACAACAGAAGTTCTCGTAGTACCATTTTATCAATTTTTTACAGATTTTTCTGCAGTTTATGCAGCTGGATCATACGGTAACAAATCTTTTGCTCAATTGTTAATTCTGCCATTATCATCCACCTACTCCGTTGACTTTAAGCATCGTGTATGGAGTGATTTGTATGATATTCTGGGAACCATTGGAATTGAATATAAAGATGTGATATGTTTGGAACCATTAAATTCATATTTTTGGCCTTTAGAATCTAATACGAGTATGTTATTAGCATATGTTGGAGCAGTCATTCATTGCAAGGTTACACGCGAAAAAACGCCATTCATGTATTGGTTGGCAATTCATCATCTGAATGGATATGTGTTCTTTAAAGATTGGAAAGAAGCAAATGAAAATAATCATAAAAAAAGGATTGATATTTCAAATGCAATAATCAAAAGTAAAAAATCCGCGGTAATTAGTGATTGGATCAAGTATACATCGAGGAATTTTGGTGAAGAGGTGGGTGAATTAGTTAAGATGCCTCAATGTTTCATGGAAGTTGAAGAGGAAGTTCAACGTAGAATAGAAATAATAAAAACGTTTAAAATTGAATTTGATGGAGTAATATTTTGAGGGTAAATCAAGAGATTATGTACTAGTAAATTTTCTTAGGTAGTACAAGATTTCCTTAGGTAGTACAATATAAATAACATATAAATACAATTGAATTTGCTATTATAAAATAATTCACTATATAATTACTATGAAAGTAATTTGTGTATTGTTCTTTCTTTTGATTTTTTTTAATAATTTTGTATTAGTTAGACTATAATAGCTTTAATAACTATAAAGTTATATGTGTTATTGAAAGATTATATAATTTAATCTTTTTGCTATAAAAACTTATTTGGTTTTTTTTTTACTTATACGTATAGCTTATTTCTGTATTTAAATACAATTTGTTAATATAACTATCTGTTTCTTTTTAGAGTTTTTTTTATTAGATGGTTTTTTTTTAAATTATTAACTATATAGAATTATATTTTTTTTTCATAAAGTTAACTAAAAAAAAATTTTAAAATATTATAACTTAAAGAAATAATCAAATATCTTTAAAAAAAAGTAAAAAAGGTAGTAACACATACTGAAATTGGGGTTTTGAGCCAAAATTATTTAGTTCCCTTTAGTGGGTTTCATAATCGTGTGCAACTATTTTGTTGTTCTATAAAAAAATATATTTAACTTTTATATAACTTTTTTATTTTATATGTATATATACAGTATAAATATTCAACCAAAATTTTTATATTATTATAGTTTTTAAATTACTCTAAAATTGTTTCTAGACTATTATATAATTGGAGGTTTTGGGATAAAATAAAAAATCTAACTAAAAAAATATCAATAAATATAATATAAAAAAAAAATAAATTTTATATAAATTTTATATAAATTATTATATATTATTTTAACTTTAAAAAATGCTAATAAATTGTTTCTTAATAGTTAAAAATTATTTTAAAATTTTGCACAAACTTTTCTGTTAATAGTTAGGTTAGGCCGCACAAAATTATATACTTGGTTTTCATATCATGGGGCTGTGATCAGTGACGCGGGCGCACAGCTTTTTTTTATATAGTAAAAAAATTTTTTTAAATAATACTAAATAAGTAGCTGCGCGACATTGTCACTAACCAGGAACGGATGTTGAACACCAATACAGAATAGTTATACTGTTGAACCTCCCCAAATCGAAATAAATTGTGGGCTGATTTTGTATCAGTATTGAGAGGTTATTAGATTTGAAAGCATTATAAACTATTAGATCTATATAGCGGAAACAGACTTGATAGACTAATCTTTTATCAGATTTGAAAGGTCATCGGTTTTGAGAGGATCGATTTTGGGAGGTTCAACAGTATATAGTTTTGAATTCAGTTAGCATAGCTATATTGATATGAGACGCAACAAGAAATTTCATAAGATTTTACGATGTGTATAGTATAGAGTGTAAAATACCTCTTTTAATAACATAACATACCAATCCGCTCTAATAATACATAACGCCGGAACAGATAAAAAATAGGGTATTTCACACCCCACATCGTACGGATCTGGTCAAATTAATCTGGAAATGTTCTTGGCAGATAATGGGATAAGAAGCTAAATGAGAAATGAATTAAGTACTATAAATAAAGATTAAGGGTGCTCTCAATGTGATTAGCTAGCTATTGAGAACTTGTATAAGTACTACGATTAATTGAAGCGATTCTTACTGTAATTTTGTTGAAAAAAAAATGGATTCAACCTTTTTTTTTCATCGCAATAATGAACCTACTTACCAATTAAACTACTTCCCGCCAATTGAAAATTGAACTTCGACTATTATTTTATGTGCTTGAGAGAACCTTAAATCATATAAATAAAAATTTAACAAGAAATTAATTAATATATTGATTGATGATGTTCAATTGATTAAATAAGAAGTTCTGAAAATATTCAATTAAAATATCATATGGAAACCTGATATGAGTTTTGTAGACCAATTTCAGCCATTAAAGATTTTGAGCTGTTAAAACTTGTATGACTTCTTTAAATATTATATTGCTTTAAAAATCATTATAACTGTAGCTACCGCTACGTAATAATATTTAATGTGTACCAGGTTGGTGGCGCATTAATCAGCCCAAGTAATTTAACGCTATTCTACTCGAATCAAATGTTCTTGCTATTTTTATTTCCCTCCATTTTTTTTTCATAACTTTTAGCTTCTAATATTATCGGTTTGAATTCAAGTATTCTTTTACATTTATAATGTATATAAGTTATAATTCTAAAACTTTTACAGACCAGGTACTATATAGCTTATAAAAAATTTTTTAAATAAACAAATTTTTCTTATAATCTACGCTGAAACATATCCTAAAAGAATAATAGTAGTGTTCTTATTCTTAAAGGCGCTTCACCTTTTAAAATTAAATTTTATAAGCATTGTTATTAATCTAACCTCCAAAATTACTGCAGTGCACTCCTACATATTTTAAATACATTCAACTCTCTTTATAATGAGCCTTTTTATAATGAACGAACTAAAATTTTAAAGATTGTAATAGTTCTGTATAGAGAGAATCGACTGTATTCGTGTTCCTGTTATATGTCTTCAATTCACATAAGAAAAAATAAATTTTATGGAATAAAGGGCTAATTAATGCGCCACCAACCTGGCACACATTGCATCTACCACAGCTTGAGCCATGGCTCATGCTCTAGCCATGACGAAGTTGTGGCTTCAATAGTTACGTTGGAGCAAAACCGATTCAATTGCAGCTGATGCTGAACCATAGTTAAAACCCAAGTTGTAGTTTAAGTTGCAACTCATCGGATTTTGTCGGTTTGGCTCCATTGTGTAGCTAAAACCGGCTTCGGATAAGCTCTTAATAATGCATTTTTATAAATGATCGTCATTCACTTAACTAACGTTCATTATGATTTTATCACATGATTATCGGATGGGTAATTTTTATTGGTTGACTATATATAAAAAAAAATATAAAAAATTTCAACCCTCGCTTTGTTCATTAACTCCACTGTCTATAAAAATTACAGAATTAATACTATTAGAAGCAAAAGCTTCTAATAGTGATTTCGTATTTTCAGACCTAAGCTGATAGTATACGAAATTTAATTCTGCCACAGCAGAATTATTGTAGAGGATCTCTACGAGTTTGTTAGTAAACGGACCTAAAAACCCGTAGAGATCCATACTAGTTATGGTAGTATTATTGAACATACCACCAAAAACTGCTTCATTCCTAATGCTTCTTCTATTTACCCCTATATGCTTAAGGTTCTCACCAGTTCTTAGAAGCATTAATATTAATGAGCAGGCAAGGGCATGCTCAAGATCGTCATCTAATTTATACCCACGATCTTGGAGCCAAAGAGCGATGCCCTGCCATAACTGCAAGCTATTGATAGACTTTACATAGCTTGCATAGTTGAATAGCAAATCTGATTTGCTTTGAAGAGCAATGTTAAAAGGAATCAATTGACCTGGAGATTAACCAGGCCGGTGTGTTGGGTGGTGGTGTAGAGTTTTGTTCCACCAAAAAAGGACCATTTCTCCAATGGAATCGGTCAGTTTCTTTGGTGCTTTTTGTGGCTACTTCCCTTTCAGCCGATAATACCAATATGCTTCTGACCCAATTTTTGCATTGGATGATAAACCGTGTCGTGGCAATTTCACATATAATGTCGGTGCCACCGTCTGTCTTGTTCAATAAATCGTTTAGAGATTTTTTTGTTGTATTTAATTTCTTTAATTTCTTCTTTAAGTCGTTTATTTTCTTGTTTTATACGTCTTGTTCAATAAATCGTTTATTTTTTTTATTGTATTTAATTTGTTGTGATTGTGTTTCGTTAATAATAAAAAGAAATTTAAGTTGAACATATATTTGCTTAGCGTAAAAATAGATAGATAACAGTGTTCCATTAAACTCATGATACATTGGGGAATGATGCACAGCCCTAACGGTTCGATAGATTTGTATAGAGATATAACCCGGGTCAACCCGGATCATAACCCGAGTCAACAAATCGGGTGGGTAATTTTAGATTTTGCAAGAATTAGATTGGGGCGCCGTAGGTGCCCCTCCTTTTCTTCTGCTGATCAATGTGGCAGAGTTTGCGTGCATTTGAGTTATCGTGATTTCTCATAGGCTATTGTAAAAATTCTCTTGTAAAACTTGCTCGCTATTGCAATGTGTGGTTAAGGTTAAGTTAGTCTTCATCGGAATCATCACGAACTCTATCATGAGTTACGGTAAACAATTCTGTTACAAAACTTGCTCATTACCTCAGTGATTCATAGGATGTTGCTATGGTTGGGCTGGTTTGCAATTAGATACCTTATATCCTGAATTTCTGATTCAAAAATCAATATATGGCGTGCGAATATTTTATTTTTATGTCAATTATAATCGAATACATACCGGGTTGGTGAAAAGTAACTGAACAGTGACCTTTTTTTAATCACTATGATTATCATTTTAACAAATCATTGCAATAAATTAACGTTAATAAAAATTGTAGTGATTTTTAATTTATTGCAACGTTAAAATGATATAATATTAGTGATTAAAAAAAGGCCACTGTTCAGTTGCTTTTCACCAACCCGGTATATTGGTTGGCTTGATTTTGACGTTAATATTAATTTGGTATGTAATAGAGTTGCAGGTGAAACTGGTGAAATTAATTAGTTTCACCTGCAACTCTAGTATGTAACGATATAATTAAACAAAGTTTTCTATTTGGTCTCTGACCCGTTTGACCCGGGTTAGGCAAAATTTGACCCGTGACCCGCGGGTTGTCGACCCGCACGGGTCAACGCGACCCGGGTAACATCCCTAGATTTGGATAAAATTTTGCAAAGACTAGTATTATGTCTCTATGAACAAAGCTATAGAGCCATTTCTTTAAAAAGAAACCAAATTAGACTTTCTCTTTAGAACAATGTTTTTTTCATGCTTAAATAAAAGAAATGACTCTATAGCTTTGTTCGTAGAGACATAATACTAGTCTTGCAAAATTTTATCCAATTCTACGTATCGAACCGTTAGGGCTGTGCATCTATTACCTAGCTAAAAAATCATTAATAAAATTTTTGATTTACATACGTAGTACGCCGCAGATTTGAACATATTATTGGCCAAAAAAATAAAAAATAATACCGAAGATCACATGATAATACAGTAATAATATTATTGAACGAGATCAACATAAAATTTTTTACGTTGACTTCGCACAAATCGATCGAAATTATCGAAATTTTTGCATAATTTTTACGTGTCCCTGGTGACGTGCAATGAAATAACGAGATAGTCACGGGTTATTTGCTTAAATAAAGTTCCTCAAATTTAAGTTTTGGGGACAAAATTTATTATCGATTTTTTAATATTGAACCCCAAAAAAAATTATTGACACTCCATAACAATGCGTCTAACCCATTTTTCCCCACAGGCTAACCCATCTTCCCACTCTTTGGCACATTTCTTTAGACATAAATTTATTATAATGACACCTTAGCCTGGGAAGCATGGACTATCTTAGCCAAAATTACTATTTACGTATTAGCAGTAAATTTTTCAAAATTTGGGGTATTTTTTGTAATGTTTAAATATACCGGTATATCGAGAAATGAATGGCCACTGATAGAGATAAGTGGGGGTCGAGAGTAGAAGCAGTATACAGTAGTACTGTATGAGTGATATTATCATTGACTAATCCAACAATGATACCTGATTTCATCTAAACATTAAATTTTGGTTTAATGAAATAGAAATGAGATATCTAAAACTAGTTTCCATAACAAATTTATGTTTTTTCATACATCAATTTTTATGCTACACATCGATCTCACAACCGGAATGGTAAAATCACGGGACCGCGCTATGACTATATAGTATACGCGTAAAGGGCTACTAATTCTAACGTAATAATGAAGCAAAAATAGGGATGATTTGATGAATGCGCAGTAGAAAGATTTCATACATATAAGACGGGATTCTTTAATAACGACGAATACAAAAAAAAATAAAAGAAAAAACATTCATTAACCAAAAAAAATTTTGAAAAATCGATTCTTAACAAATTCGAAATTTGTCTTTTTATATAAGTGTAGAATCTTTACATTTGAGAGAATTATTTGAACCTATAACTATTATTATTATTCAAATGGGGTTTTCTATATACTTTTTCTAATAATGAAACTATTCTTATTTCAATCCAGTCATAATGTACGTACATACGTACCAAAATGGAAATATTTCGATCCGCTAAACCATTCACTAAACCCTTACATATTACCAAATTAAAAAGTACTTGTTTTTTTCTTTAAGAAATTTCATCTCAATCGATAATTTTGTGTACTGTGTACCACTGTGTATCTCCATTTTGATTATTATTCTTTGCATTTCGCAGGTAAGATTTGCCCGCAATTTTCCACGAGTGACCTGTGATTGATGGAATGAAAATAGGATGGTGTAAAAGACAAATGTTTAAAAATCGAGCGGAGTACGTATTAAAATTTCTTAAAAGAATGATTTTCTTTTAGAATATGAAAGACAATTTTATGGGAATTTTCGAATTAAGAAATAAAATTAACAGATTTTCACGTTATGCATGAACTCCGCACTTTTGTGTTATCTTACGCCTTCCTGATTGTGAATAATCTTATTTTGCGCACTGTGCTTCACTTGACTATCTCTGTGACCAATAGAGAAATTCGTGTTGGAATGTTGGAATACGAATCACACTATTTAGATATTCAACTCTACAAATATAGTTAAAAATAGCATCTTGAGATTTGCATTTAAGGAACAGTGTGAATAAGAGTAGAGTATAGAGAATAATAAAGTAAAATACTTATAATCTATATATTAAAAAAAAAAAGCCAGCAATTTGAGAATTTCAAATTTATTAAAACTTTTATGGTCAAATTTACATTTCTATTTCATGCAAATTTTTTATCATTATGCATTAAAGATAAATATTTATCACTTTTTATTATCTATGCTTACAGAGTATGTTTATTATAATGATAATCTGAAAAAAATTACACCAAGTCTAGTTACGTAAAACGCCATTTTAAAATACCCAACGTACGTACTTTATAGTTTACACGTGACTGGGTAATTAGAATCTAAATAAAGGATCAATTGATCCCTTGGAAAAGCATCTAAAGCATCTTGCATACAAACATCCACCCTCCAAAAACGTCTGGATACTTTACACAGGAATCACCCTACTCCGTAATAATAATAATAAAATAATAATAATAATAAAATAATAATAATAATAAAATAATAATGATAATAATAATAATAATAATAATAATAATATGATAATAGATAATATGATATAATTAATACAGTATACCTTACGTATCTACAGTATCTATTTGATCAGATTGCAGAAAACCGAATATAGAGAAACAATGCATACCCAATTCGTGTACCATTAATATAAACCCGCACAAACCACTATAATACTTTATTGGGTATGATATGTATGTAGACCCAGTGATGTAAATTGGGTTCGCGCAGTAGGCGCAGCGTACATAGATTTAAATTTGCGCGTATAATAGCACTCTCCGTATATATAGCGCGCGTATAAATTTTTTTTTTGTGCACATTTTTTGCATTTGCGCCAATAAAAATTTTTTGAATTTATAACACTGTGTAGACCCCTTTACTTTAATTTAATTGATAAATAAATAAATACGTAAAACAGTAGTTCTTTTACGTTTTCCCGGTCGAACTTTCAATTCTTTTCTTTTTTACTCACTTTTTACAACGTTACTGTCTTTAAAGGTTAAATTTATACTATACAGTATCAATAAAAAAAAACACATGGCTGCTACTATTACCAATTCAATTGATCCTCGTGACATAGGTACACCTGATGACTGGATTCCACGTCATCCTGAAATGGTACGTCTCACTGGAAAACACCCATTTAATGCCGAACCCCCTCTATCTCTTCTAATTAATCAAGGCTTTATAACTCCTACTCCTTTACACTATGTAAGAAATCATGGTCCTGTACCTAAACTTCATTGGGATACTCATCGTTTAATTGTTGATGGGTATGTTAATAATTATCCATTTAATTATCTCGTGTTAGGGAAGCACTGTTTATTACGTAATTTCTTTTATTAGAGGCTTCCCTCCTAGGTGATCGAATTAGCAGCCAATCTCAATGTCTATCTACAAAGTATAGACGTGATAAGTTGCTAACCCCTCCCCCTCTTAAAATTACGTAATAAACGGCTCTTCCCTTACTACTAGGGCTGTTAATGAAATATACTCCCGAGTAATTTAGTATTATAAACCACTCCATATCGATGTGGTTTGTATGCTACACCACTCCAAATTGCTATAGGAGTCAAATAATGATTTATACTCCAAAGCTACTACTAATACTACGTACTCCAGATTAAAAATATAAATAATTTTATCAATTGTTGTATATTAAAAAATAAATATTTCTATTAAGACAATTTAGCATTATAGCAAATAAATTTGTTCTAGATGTCAAATTCTAAACTATAATTAGCAAAAATGTTTAAAAAAATATATTATAAAATTTACTCCGGAGTAACATACCCCGGGTGAAATTATGAAATTATTGAATTTAATCTGGAGTAATAGCTCTGGTGTGGTTTGGTTTTGATGGTTACTCTGGCAGAGTACCACTCTGAATTATTCCGTTAACAGCCAGAGTTACTACTTTCTTTCTATTATCTGTTATATTTAAATTAAATTAGATTTTTCTTTTTTTATAGATTAGTATCAAAACCTTTGAATTTATCAATGAATGATATTCAAAATTTTCCATATAAGGAATTTCCTGTAACTCTTGTTTGTGCTGGAAATCGTAGTAAAGAACAAAATATGATTAAGCAATCTATAGGATTTAATTGGGGTTCTGGTGCTATAAGTTGTGCAATTTGGAAAGGTGTTCCATTAAATGATATTTTAAAATTAGCTGGTGTAAATCTTGATGATTGTATTAATGAACCTCGTTATGTTTGCTTTACCGGTGCCGACAAATTACCTAATGGTTATTATGGTACAAATATTCCTTTAGAATGGTCTCTTAATGATATTAATGATGTTATCTTGGCTTATGAGATGAATGGTGAAAGATTAACTCCTGATCATGGTTATCCTTTACGTGTTATAATTCCCGGATTTATTGGTGATAGAATGGTCAAATGGCTTTCTAAGATAACTATAAGCAATAAAGAATCTGATAGTTATTATCATTATCATGATAATCGTGTTCTTCCTCCTGAATTCGATGCTGAGCTTGCTACTAAGGAAAATATTTGGTATAATCCAAATTATATTATCAATTTTCTCAATATTAATTCTGTTATAACTTCTCCTGCTCATAATGAATATATTTTATTATCAAATTTATTTAATGATAAAATGTATACTATCAAAGGTTATGCTTATGCTGGTGGTGGTAATAAGGTTATTCGTGTTGAAATTTCTTTAGATGATGGTAAAACTTGGATTCTTTCTAAATTAGATCAACCTGAACTTAATCATCATATTGTTTTAAAGAGAGGAATTAATCCAATTCCTAAATATTGGTGTTGGAGTTTTTGGTCTTTAACTATTCCATTTTATTCTTTTATTCGATGCGATGAAATTTCTGTTAGAGCTTGGGATTCAACTCAAAATACTCAACCTAGAAATCTAACTTGGAATGCTATGGGAATGATGAATAATTGTCATTTTCGTGTAAAAATTAATACTATTGCTCAAGGATCTGAATTTCGTTTAGTATTTGAACATCCAACACAACCTGGAAATCTACCTGGTGGATGGATGGTTAAATCTGAAAAATCTTCTCCAAAGTTATTAACTTTTTCGAAAAATTCAGAGCTTTCTACTATCAATAGTAAAATTTCTACCTTTACTATTAATGATGTAGCTAAACATAATAATGAAAAGGATTGTTGGATTATTATCAACAAAAAAATTTATAATTGTACTAAATTTTTGAAAAAACATCCTGGTGGAACATCCCCTATTCTTATCAATGCCGGAACAGATGTCACAAAGGAATTTAGTGCTATCCATTCCACAAAAGCTAGAGAATTATTAAAAGTTTTTTATATAGGTGATCTAGTTGAATCTCAACAACAAAAAATAATGACCTCTGAAACCCATAAGGCAAAAATATAATATATGAATTTTTTTTATCTTTAATTACTTTTATATGTAAATTATATATAATTTATTATAATCATGTACATTTACATAACTATATAAAAGTGCAATTAATAAATTTTTTATAATATTATAAAGTTCGTTAAGATTCACATATATCAATAAATCCAATGGAAAAACCATTCATAATCCTTTTACTAGGTGGTAAACAACTAGTGCTTATTTTCAACATTAGTAATATTTGCAGGCAAATATCGTTATGATACGCAAGGTGTTCAACATTTTTATCTTTTTGCCATTGTTCGAGGAGACTTTAAGGCAATAAAAAGAAATTGTCAATATTTTGGTGTTTGAACCAAGAGGGTAATTTTGAAAACGAACCTAGGAGTTTTGTCATTATCTTTAGATGTGCAATCTATATATAATAATTTTATGACTTTAGGGAAAAGAAAAAATCATTAAAAACATAAATTAAATTTATTAAAAATAATTGATCAAATTTATTGCCTCATAAGAAACACTCACCACTATAAGGTTTTAAATCGCTTTTAATAGAGTCACAATATTGTGCCACATTTGGCGAGAATTTATTATAACATTGCATTTCGTCTTGCAAAGTATTCGTTATAACCTTTGTATCCCAGCCAAACAACCAAATCTAGAATACCAATATTTAATCATTATTTACCATATTCTATCATGTGTTAATGTATTATCATCAAAATAACGTAAAGCTCTTACCAAGGCATAAGTTTGATTCGAATTTTGTCCTTCAATTATAAAGCGATAAGTAGCATGCGCTTTTGCAGCCTCAAAGAGGTCAGCAGCTATAAATGCACTAAATGGATATCTTCGTGTAATTGATCTATATGAATAAATAACCATTTGATAATTTTATTATCAGTTATCCGCACGAATTTGTACTCACAAATTTACAAGTAGCTTACTCATTAGTATCACTTTCTAATTCAACAAAAATAGCCTGTTTATTAAGCTTAATCGCTAGTAAAGATAATTCTTGAAATGTAATATAATTTATTATGTTAGTTTTTTTCATAAAGAAAAAATAGGCTTAAAATAAACGGATAACATATACCTGACGCGTCACTCTCTCCTTCCATCTTCTTGGTCATTTGATATAACCCTTCTCCGATAGGACACAAACATCTGGTACAATTTAGAGGCCTCCATTTTTTAGAAAGACCTTTGGTCCACTAATGAAACAAAATAATAAAAATAGATAAATATATATTGTATATTATCTGTAAACTAATAGACTCGATATGTGTTCCAACGTAATAATACACGTTACAATACTAGTATACGCATAATGATTCTTCGAAGGTACAGAATTTATATTAATTCACTTATTCTAGGACTTTAGTATCGACTAATTATCAATTTCCTTCGTTCTTAGCCTTCTTTAAGTCCAATTATTATATAATAAAATCAAATAAAAAACAAAATATATTATATGATAAATTTCATACATCCACTTGGGCTAATCTTTCTTCAATTTCGAGAGCATCATTTTTAACATCTTTAGGATGAATCAAGAAATATGTATTGCCAACCAACCCAATATGTTCTCTAACAATTATATCATTCATTCGTGCTTGTTGATAATCTTCCTGATGACACATCCAACACTCTATTAGTTCCGCCCAATGTTCTGAAGGCATATCCATTATTTTAGAAAACGCGTTCGTTTTAAGTAAAGGTATCTTACAATAAACACATTGAATGTTTTTGAGCTTTGTTAGCTCACTTGCTGAAAAGGGTGGAAGAATATCCTTGGCACTCGGTTGTTTTGCAGGTTTCTTGCGAACATAACTTCTTAATTTTAATCTGATATCTAAACTATCTTGTGAAGTAGTAATAATTGGCTTATCGTCAGTTTCAATAGTCTGTGGAAGGTTCAGTGTTGTCTGTAGACATTGTACAGTTGATTTATTTTTATGCTCTAAAGTAATTCTTAAAGGGTATATTCCAAGCTTGAAAGACGATCTTGTTTTTTCAGTAGGTAACCCAACGCTCATGTTCATTGACCGAACGTTAGGCAATATTTCAGCAAAGACGATTGATTCCATTATTGAGTGCAAACACGAGATGGTTGCATTAGGTCATTCTTAAAAATAATAGATCAGCCAATCAACTGAAAATCTTCCTACTGATTATCAAAAAAAAAACAGAATAGTTTCGGTTAACCAAATTTGAAATTATGGGAGACAAGATTATTATAAAAAATCTTCTCGTACGAAATGTTACAGGAGTAGACTCCTGGGAACGTTTAAAACGTCAACCAGTTTTGATTAACTTGACCCTTAATAAAAACATTTCTAAAGCTGGAGAAAAAGATAAACTTACATACTCCATTAATTACGGAACTGTTTCAAAGGCTGTCTCCAAATTTGCCGAAGATTCTATCTGTGATTCTGTCGAGGTTTTAGCGGAGGGAATAGCTAAAATTTGCGTAAACGAATGTCATGCACCTCGAGTTACCGTTCGTGTGGAAAAGCCTCGCGCTTTGCTGCATGCTGCTTCCGCAGGTGTCGAAATAATACGTACTAAAGAAGACTATGATCATGTTGGTTCAAATTCAAATACACAACCTAATTATATTAATAGCCATCAAGATTTGATATTTATTAAAGATTTGAGATTAAGTGCGATTATTGGCGTCAATCCATGGGAACGTGAAGAAAAGCAAACCGTGATATTGAATTTAACAATATATTCCAATCTTAATGTTAATTCTTCACAAAATGATGCCGTCACCAAGCCGCATAATTACCGTACTATTGTTAGAACTATTTCCAAGGTACGTATTTAATTCTAGGTTGTACATATATATATATATATTAAAGATTATATATTATATAACTGTGTCGAAGTAGTATGTCGAAGAATCGACTTATCAAACTGTAGAAGCATTCGCTATAACTGCTGCAAGGATAGCAATAACACAATGTCTAGTTGATAAAGTTACAGTTCGAGTGGAAAAACCAAGTGCTCTGGTCTTTGCCGAATCTGCTGGAATCGAAATTACTAGAAGTCAGTCAGATTTTGCAGATGAGGCCAGACATATCTCACAACCTCAATTAGATTTTTTAAACGGAAAAAGGTTTAGAAATTCACGTTCAACGATTCCTGAACAGGCAGAAGTAATAAAGTCTACACTCCCCAAAGAATATAAGCATTTTGCTTTTATTGGACTGGGATCTAATTTGGGTGATCGTGTTAAAAATATTAATGAAGCTTTACAACAATTAGAAAAAATATGTAAATGTAAAGTATTGGATACTTCGTTTTTATATGAGACTTCACCGATGTATGTAATAGATCAACCTAATTTTTTGAATGCCGCATGTAAGGTAAGATTAAAAAGTTTTCAATTTATGAACCAAGATATAAGGCTTATGTAAATCGAATTATCGATAAAGATCGCTACAAATTTGAATCCTGAAGAATTAATTAAAGAGCTCCAGGCTGTCGAACTAAATTTGGGTCGATCCCGAGAAAATGCTATCAGGAATGGACCAAGAACAATTGATTTGGACATTCTGTTCTATGATGATATTGAGTGTTCAACAGACACCTTAGTAATACCACATCCATTAATGCATGAGCGAGAATTTGTACTAAGACCTTTGTGTGAGTAAGTAACATTTGTATCTATTTACGCTTCATATACATTTTAAGAATTCTAATGTTTCACGGATCTTTTTTTTTCAGCATTGCAAAAAGATTCGAGCATCCAAAGCTTTATAAAACATGTGAACAATTGCTCTCCCAATATTTAAAGTCACCTAATTATGATAAAAAAAATACTATCTATAAAGTCTTACCGATTCAAAATTCAAAATGGATTTGGAATTCAAAAACATATATAATGGGTGTTATCAACGTAACACCTGATAGTTTTAGTGATGGTGGGCAATTCTATTCAGTGGAAAGTGCAGTTTCTCACGCGGAAAATCTAATAGCGGAAGGTGCTGATATCCTTGACATTGGTGGAATGTCTACGAGACCAAATGCTGATGAAATTCCCATCGAAGAGGAGATTGCACGTGTCATTCCTGTCATACAGGCAATTCGTTCCAAAGGGATTACAGATATACCTATTTCTATTGATACTTATCGTGCAACAGTTGCTGAAAAAGCGATAGCAGCAGGTGCCAATTTAATAAACGATGTTTCTGGTGGTCAATTGGACTCGGATATGTATCGCATAATGGCAAAAATGAATGTTCCGATATGTCTTCAACACACACGAGGGAACTCTAAAACTATGACAAAGCTTACCCAATATGAAGATATTATAACAGATATATGTTCTGAACTTTTTGAGCGGGTTGAAAAAGCTATCGAAGCTGGAGTCAAACGTTGGAACATAATTATTGATCCTGGTATAGGTTTTGCAAAGAATTATGAACAGAGTTTTCAAATACTTAAGCGATTACATGAACTTACAGGAAGAAATAGTCCATTTGAAGGGTTTCCTTGTCTGGTGGGACCATCACGTAAAGGATTTATTGGCGATGCAACGAAACAACCGGATGCAAAGAAACGTGGGTGGGGTAGTGCGGCAGCATGCACAGCTTCAATCGCAGGTGGTGCTGATGTATTAAGAGTTCACGACGTAAAAGAAATGGTTGATGTCGCCAAGGTTTCAGACCGTATTTGGAGGTGTTCTTTAGAATAATTTGTTTCCGTTATTTACTTTATATCTGATATATTGTATGAATTTAATTAAAACCAAATCTTATCATAATAATTATTATAATTGAGATGGTCTAAATAAATATGGCAATTTTAATAGGCATTGAGGTATATATATTTGCTATTAATCACCTAGGGCACGATACATATTAGTGAAATATTTTTGAAATTTTTGATTCATATTAAACTACTTATATTAAGTGTTTAATTTGACCAGCTATTAAACTACTTATATTAAGAGTTTAATTTGACCAGCTATTAAACTACTTATATTAAGAGTTTAATTTGACCAGCTAATTGGACATAAATCCAAAGTAACTTTGGACTTATGTCATCAAGGCTAAGGCTAACTGGACAAGGGCTAGGTTAATTAAAATATTGGATTTAAAGCTAATAACTTCTCATGTGTACAACAGTTTAGTTATTTATTTTATCATTTTTTAAAAAGCTTAATCCGTTTGCTACAGCAATAAGTTAATTATATTCACAAAACATTGCCGATGACCGAATCGGAATCAATAATTTGTCATTTGACCTAAAAACAACAATTATGTCCATGTAATACACATATGGGATATCCGCCTCGCTGCTCACGTGATCCACAGACGGTTCTTAGCATCGTATCTAAAACTCCTTAAAGATAACCGGATCGACTATCCGGGTTGTAAAATAAAAACCCCCATATACTCGGGCCACCTACCCAGGCTACCTAGCCAGACCAAAGCTCAAGCCCCAGAGGTGGGCAGGTGGGAACTAAACAAAAAGCCAGACTTTATGTCAAGCTAGCAGCAAAGACAAAAGAGGAAGAACAATTTCCCACACACTCCTTACTTAAACAACATAATATGTTATGACTACATACTTACTCAACAATTCTCATACAATACCTCATCCTTATAACAATCATCACTATTATATTACTATCACACAATAACCTACATCATAGACCTGGGTCATGGTCTTGTGACAAATAGATGTCTCGTGATTTCATTTACAGCATCCCATTTGTCACTTAACCTAAAAACAACAATTATGTTCATGTAATACATATATGGGATTATCAAGAGAATCGTTCATCATTTTTATTATATGCGAAAAGCACATGAACTCAACTTACAGCTTATACAAAAATCTCTAAAAATACATTTTCACTAAAGCTTCCTCCTTTGCTGTCTTTACTCTCTCAAATACAATATCATTGCTTTTGAATTTCAACCCCCAATTGCCCTAATCTGTGTCAAAGATATTTTGCCTATTATTACTACTATTGCATTGCCTATCCTCAAACTATGAGAAGTAAAGTGCCTTTAATTTTAGCATACTCTGTCATTTGTTTAACCATTAATGAAATCGACGCCACTGATATTTCTTTTTTCTGATTAGACAAAAACAAAGATTCATTACTAGATATCACAGGCCTAACTCTTAAATATCTATTTAACAACTTAACTAGACAAAACCTACTCGCAATAGGCTCAATGAGTACAAATCTCCTATTAGTAAATGAGTTATTTTTCACTTTCCTAATCCTAATCCAAAACAAACCTAACCTTACCTCTATATCTTTAAATCTCAACTTATACAACTTTCCTGGTCTTCTCATCATTTTAAAATCTAAAGCCACCAAAGCTAGATCTCTATACATCAGCAAATTTAATAGGGCGTAATATTGCGCAATAATTTACGAAGCGTAAGAAAACCGTAATATTACGTAATAACTTTCGCAATATTGCGAAATATATAATTACGAAATATTACGTAAGATAATTACGCAATATTACGCAAGAAA